TCTATTTTAATAAAGCCTATTGCATATCAACTCGTCTTTATTTCCTGCAATTTTAATTTTGTTGTATGCAACCAGATATGTTACTCAAGAGAACAGTCTTTTGCGGTGCTCTGGGTTTCCTTTGAACTGTAGTATCTTACACAGCCATCTGCTTTTGGAGGAAAGCATGAATTTATGCATTTTAAAAGAGAATTCTTAGTCAAAGTAGATAGTTGGCTATACCACCCCTTTCTCATCCAATGCCTATGCAATGCAGCACAGATTATTCCCCACCTTTTGCCTATTATAAATGTATTTTCAGATATAACCCTCAAGGGAGTTCCAATACAAGCTACTTTGTTTGGATTCATTCTTTCCCCTAAGTAAAAAAATACCATGTGTTTCTGAGTGGACACTGTCATGTTGTATTTGCCATGTCTTTGACATCACATGTGTTTTGGTAAAACAAGCAAAGTATTTAGTCAGCAATACAATGTCAGGCTCTTATAAGTCTAGAGCCAAAGGCTTGTAAAAAAAAACAAACCAACCAACCAACCAAACAAACAAAAAAACAGTCTTTATATATATATATAATTTGTTAGTTATCAAGGTACTCAGCTTTTTCTGCTCAGAAATTCTGAGATGTAATCCACAGTCAGTGGGTTCATGGTGACTTCTGAAGTTTGGCTTTGCTTTGAAAGCTATATGGGTATATGAAAGTCAGTGGGTTGCTCTCCTGACTGTGTGGTTCTATTCAGGTTCCTCTGAACAATTCCTTAGTGTCCATGTCATTCTAGACCCTGATGTTTGCTTACCATGGATTTCACTTGTAGACATAGTGACTCACATTTCATACTTCTGTTGTGCCAATAAATTCAGGCTTTTGATAGAGTTACAATTCCATTTAGTAGCTCTTCTAGGAGTGAAATGACTTTTAAACTATAAGACAGTTTCTTCTGCCCACGTTCATTCTGAGACCTGATTCTGAGTTTTTGTTTCAACCACTCCTCACACTGAACTGCCACTACAGTGCATTTATAATAGCTGTTAGATAAAATAATATTATATATCTATTGTTATCTTTGTGTTCTCTGGAATGTCACCAACTTTACATAGACAACACACATAATTCATTACTTATTGGTTGCATAGCATGCTACTTAACACGTGCTTAAGAGTCAGCATTTCTGCTATAAATTATTGTCACAATGCCCTTCTCCTTGTTCATCAGATGCTGGGAAGACAAGAAAGCATGCTGTCTGTAAGAAAAGGCAAAATAGACTTTGGGTGAAAGGTGTTTTGTTTGTTTGTTTGTTTGTTTGTTTGTTTTTTGCTACTGTATGTGGCTTGAACTACCTTTAATTCTGTATTTCAATTGAATTCAGTAGTCCTGAGAAAGCTTGTCTTATAGCCAGAAAGTCATACATGCGTTCACAAAAGAGATAAAGACAGTAAGGAATGACACGGTATTTTCGGCCTTGCCAATCCATCTGAGGTATTAGTGGAATCATCTTTAAAAAGTAGGCAATCATACCAGATTAGTTGTATTTAATCCCTGTGAGAGACAGGTTTTGCAAATATGCACTTTCAAGTCTTTTCACTAAAATCTGATCACAGAAAACAGAAAATTCCAGTTCTTAATGACCTAGCTTGGTTTTAAAGCAAATTCTAGTTAATGAAATGACTTTTAAACCATATGGCAAATATATATATATATATAAATCTTAAGTTTATAGTTGGAGTTCTTGGTAATTATTTAAGCATTTAATGATTATTCAGAAACTTAAAAGAAACTCCCATAAACTCCAAAATAATTATTTCATTTATCAATTTTGACAGCTCTTTGTTATTATCTATTAGACACTTTTGATGACATTTGAAGAAACCTCAGAAAAACAGACTCTCAAAAACTGCTGGGGTAAGAAAAGTAGAATTTTTTCAAGGATTCTGATTAACCTATATTACTACTGGTATTTACTTTCTAAATATACTTTGGGATCCTGTTTCAAAAACTAGTCTTGTCTAACCAAGAACTAACACAACCTTTGAAAACACTTCTATTTATAATCCATCTTCCATTTCTTACATCTAGTAAATACTTTAAAATTATATGCATGTCATGACTTCCCTCTTCATTGAAAATAATTTTTTAAGTCATATAAAGAGTGCACTATCCAATCTCACACATCAAACTATCATAAGCATAGTGGAGCATAAGTATATATATATATACAATGCTTATCTAGAGAATGAATGCCAAAGTTGTTTTTTATTTAGCACTAATGTTCTCACATTCACTTAGAAGGAAAACAGCTCTCCCAGAACACTAAGAACACTGCACTTTTCTGTCATACACACACACTCACAAGACACAGATAGTAAAATAAGTTGTTTTCCATTCATTAATTTCAGAGTTGTTGATTTCCATTGATCAATTCAACAATTATATCCATAACTTTCTCTAGAATACTGCATCCAGCATTTCCTTCTCAACTGAAATGGGAAAGGACTTAATTTCCTAATTATTGTGCCTTTCACCTAAGCAATCAAATGCTAGCAGTCTTTTATTTCATTGAGACATATAGGTACCTTTTTTGATCATAGAATAAAAGAACAGAAAACATGAACATATCACTAAACCTCAGATAATGCCATCAGTACAAATGATATGTCATATGTTGCTGTAACTAAGACTACCTAAGACTACCACATTTTGTATTACAAATAGTAATGTGTTGACAAGACTAGGAAGATTGCAGTAGTTTCCAGAAAGGCAAGCTGACAATTGTTTATCTTCTAAACCTATTCAGACTTTAATAGACTCCTGCCAAAATCAGTGAAAAGCCTGCCTTTCACCTGAGGAGATTCTAATTCAGGCTGTCGAGATGGTTATGCCATGTAAAACAATTAGAGCTAAATACCATACACAGTTTCTAGTAGTTATCTCTTAACTATGGAACTATTACTTCTAATCCTTATGTATGTGGAATATGCTCCTTAATGTATGTCCTGGTTTCAGTTAGAACAGAATTAATTTTCTTCCTAGTAGCTGGTGGAATGCTGTGTTTTGGCTTAGGATGAGAAGAGTGCTGATAACACCCCAATGCTTTAATTGTTGCAGAGCAGTGCTTATACTAAGCCAAGGACATCTCAGCCTTTTGCTCTGTCCTGCCAACGGGCAGGCTGGGGGTGCAGTAAGAGCTGGGAGGGGACAGACCCAGGACAGGTGACCCAAACTAGCCAAAGGGGTATTCCATACCATCTGACGTCATGCTAAACAATATATAGGGGTGGCTAGCCGGGGGGAGGGGGCCGGACTGCTCGGGGTTAGGCTGGGCATCGGTCAGCGAGTGGTGAGCAATTGCATTGTGCATCACTTGTTTGTACATACTATTACTTTCGTATTATCACCATTGTATCATTATTATTATTATTGTTATTATTATTTTGTTATTATTATTTTCTTGTCTTATTAAACTGTCTTTATCTCAACTCACGGGCTTCACTCTCCATTTCTCTCCCCCGTCCCAGAGAGGGAGGGGGGAGGGTGAGCGAACGGCTGCGTGGTGTTTAGCTGCCGGCCGGGTTAAACCACGACAATGTACTAGAAGACAAGTGAATAAACTACTGTGTTCATCTGCCTGATATTTATGCCTTTCATCAGATAGCCCTCACTTGCCATCAGAACAGATACATTAGTTCAAACACAGAGGCATGGAAAGGAAACTATGCTATTTGTAGTCAGTCACTTTAGAAAACTACATTGTCACAGGAAAAAAAGATATTCCCATCTTTGGCCTTGCAGCTTTCCAATAAAGCTTCTCAGTAATGCAAACGAATTGATAATTCTTCTTGCATTGTACATTATTGGCTCATAGTTATATCATGAGGCACTACAGGTAGATGTCTGTACTTTCTGTGAAATGATTGTAGAAGTTTGCCACTGTTTAGTTTCATCTTATTCAGAAGGAAAACAATTTGATGTTTAAAAATTCATCTTTTCTTAACCTGAAAAATGTTAGAACCTTCCAAGAATTATATTTATGGTAAATCCAAAATTTTAATTATTAAATGTGCTCAACTTACAGGTATTTGGTATATGGTGTATAGTAACATATATATATCTACATATTTGTAGTTTATCACTTTTCTTGGATTATCTAATTTAGCTTTATTTAGAGTAATACTGTGAACATTCTGACATTTTGCCATGAACTTGGGCCATCCTCAGCTTCTTGTCAGAGCCTCTCTGAGGCTCCATCATTGTCTTACTGTGTTTAACAAGTAACACAAATGAACTATCCTGGTTCTCCAAATTGCAAAAGCTTTTCATTGTATGAAAAGTAGCATGGTAAGTTTAAAAATTCCAAAGGAACTGTAAATGATTTGTTGCTCTTTTTACCCCTTTGGGGAGTAGAGATTCACAATCATATTTACATAAAGTTTTCTGCTTGTTCGTCAATATTTGTTCTAACCACTTTTACATCAAACGGACTGGACATTTTAAAGGACTTGTATTGTTAACTGACACATAAACCTATGACAAGACCTTATGCATAACAGGAAGCCAAGGAAGGAAGGAAGGAAAAAACAACAACAACCAACCAACCAGAAACCAACGAAATCACAACAACAATAATAACAGAGCCAGATTTGATTCATGGTCCAAACTCCAAAGGGAATGCTAACAGTAACTCAGCAGGTGCCTGGTTTTGAGTCCTCACAAGTATCATAGGGTGAATTCATTGTTTAAGTTATGACCAACACATTCAGAGTTATACTCATCTGGTAAATGAGTGCAAGCAGCAAAATTCTGCTGCCCTGTGTATAGTCCCTAATGATTTACAGAACATCTCCTGCATTTTGCAGTCCCTAAATGCTGCTGTGATGCAGCAGCTACAGTTCTTGAGGACAAAGTAGGAGTTTGTCTTTCTGAATGACACATTCTTCCTGCTGAGCTCAGATTTCATTACAAGAGTGATCTGTGGCCCTTCAAAGCTTGCCAGCATGAGTGGCAGAGACTCTCAGGTATGAGATGGTAATCCCTTTCTTCTACAGAAAAATAGTCTTTTCTCTACTGTACTTCTCATAATGGACCATACACTTTTTCTCCAAAAAGAAAATAATAGCTACACAGAGAAACAGAAATTCCAGGTATTTTATTTACAGACTTAATTGTATTCTGGTTTGATTTTGATATATAATATGCACATGTTTTCTTCATAAGCAAGGTTTATTCTGTTAGGTTTATTCTGGTAAGCTTTCTGGAAAGGTTTATTTTGAGTAAACTTCTCAATCTGTCATCTTCAAATTAAAGACTATCATATTTTAATATATTTATTTGTGAATTAATATTTAGCATTCCAATTTACAGGGCTGTTGAGAACTATGTATCAGCAAAAAACGGAGATAATTAAATGACAACAGAACCACTGACTTCCTCCTTTCCTTCTTTATTAACTAGCTGGACTAAAGTTGAAATTCAAAAATTACCTGCTTATATGGATGGCTGTGTGTTGTCAAAAACATTCAGATTACACACTGGACTGCATCACGAACTCAGGAAGATGTTCATCTTAAAAAGCAAAATGAAACCAAACCAAAGACTCACCACACACCTCCATCAAAACTCAAGAAAGTGGAACCATGTTCTATATTATTCCATTTAGGTTTGTGTCTCAGTGCTTTCGGCAGCAGGGTGAAAGTTATTGTCAGGTGTCTGACAATTTTATATAGACCTTTTTACCCTTCTCTAGCCAGACAAATCTGCAAACTGTTTTCCAACTGTTTCCTCATCTGTCTGGAGGCCAGATAAGCTCAATTTGTTCTTTCACTAAGATGCTTCTTGGTTTGCCTGTGAAAAGTCAAAGGAAAAATAACCTCTGTGAAATCAGGGAAATCATTAACAGAGAGTATTGAAATTACTGTCTCACGTCTCCTGATTTAACTTAAAATAATGCTGACTTTTTATAATAAAAAACCTGTGGGCTTTCCCAAGTTTTTGTGGAACAGATGTTGCCACCAGCATTAACATTATATCTGCTGAAGAATTCAGTGCAATTTAAACTGAATACTAAAATGAAGGTATTTGTGATTCTTGTACATTAAATAGAACTCACACAATGCTCTTAATGCAGGTTTGTGTGATGACTTTTCAATAAATAAATAAAAATACAATGGAAAGACAATGTGAGTCTGATAGTAAGTGTATTCCTACAAATAAATGATACTTTTCTGTGGAAGACTGGAAATAGGAAAAAAAATAATCTTTCACACTCATCTAAACATGGACTTCATAACTTCTAACTAATCCTTTCATAGCAGTTTGTACTGTTCACAGAAGGTTGGTCATTTTTGTTTGTTTCCTGTTGTATGACAGCCATTGGTTGGCTGTAGTACACTTATGTAATATATGGATATTTCTCTTATGCATTTAGTGGCTGAAGAAGCACAAACTTTGTATATGCCCATGCTTGTTACTGAAGTCAAGCCAATGTAATACACTGCTTTGGGCTACTCTAAACTGTGGGTGGTCATATTTATTTAATTTTTTTTTTACATAATGGTTTAATCTTGTGGTGTATATTTTTATCAGGCCACCAGTCTGTTTTCCTTATAACTTGTTGACACAGATGTTTAGGAAAAGGCTTAAATTATCTATGGACGTAAAATCCCTATGGCTCACCAGAACAAGGCAATGATATTAATATGAAATGCTTTTGTCTGATAGGAAACATGAATAATTTTCTTCAGGGCTACAACTGAAAAGACACTTTAACTGCATTACACTGAACAACTGATACCTTTTTTTAGCACCTTTAAGAGGGCCTTCTCAATGTAAAAAATGTATTTTTTCATTGGTCTCAAATTTTAGCATATATGTGGGTCTGGACGTAGCAACTGTTGCACTGCTGTGATACAGGTAGCCACCCAGCATGGCAATTTAAAAGAAGAACATGACTTCAAAGCGATCTTTGTATGAAGAGTTACTCTTCAGGTACTCTGTGATTGTTTTTGTCTCATTTAAACACTGGGAGATGCCATAGTCTTGTTAAGCATGCTATTTTCACTATTGCATTGTGTCTTGACTGAAGGAATGCAAAAAATTCTGTCTTCACAGTTTGCCAGTTTACTCTTATTAGCATGTGTGTTTTGTCATTATTTTATTTTATTATTTTTTTTCCAAATTTTAACACCTATCCTTCTTAAAAATTAAAAATGAATAATCCTATGATTCATTTGCAATCTTGGCAAACAGTAGATTTTTATTCAGACTTGTCACTAAGCTTCAGACTCCTCAGTGTGGGAAGCCCTACTTGGCACTAAAACTACAGCTTAATACAAGTGTTGTGCTTGATGGCTTCTTCATAGGATAGTGTGAGAGCATAAGATCTTTTCTGAAATAATATACTACTTGTGTCTTCAAGTTTAAATCATCTGAATTTTATATCTCTAAATTTTGTGCTCCAGACAGCAGCAAAAGGTGAAATGTTTTTGTGGACTTTTAAGTATTTGATTATTTTCTAAATATTTCACAAGATCTTTGAACTTAGTGTTCTTTCCTTCCTACTGCCTATGATTGATTCCATGTCTAGAAAAGTTTAACTTCCCCTTTACCAAAACATTTACAAAATGCGTAAATAACAATATATGCCATATGACATATGCTTGTCTGTGTCAAATACCATCTGATAATTGTTGAACTTGTAACTCATTTCCAGAAGGTTCATTTACATATCTCCCTGATATACCTGCAGAAGCCCTTTTTGCTGCTTTTTATGCCCCCTTCCAGATTCAGCTGTAGGTGGGCTTTGACTTCCTAAACCTATCTCTGCACAGTTTGACAGTGGAACACTATTCTCTCCAGGATTATATTTCATAGGAGTATTCCAAGCAGGCACCCAGAGTCCTAAATCTGACCTCCTGAAATTCAAGGTTGTGATACTGCTTTTTTCCTCTGATTTTTCTCACCCCGTTACAGGATACTGGACTTCACCTTCTTATGGTCACTGCAGCCAAGGTTGCCCCCAAGCTTCTTATTACCCATAAGTACTTCATTACATATAAGTATCAGGTTCAGCAGAGCACCTCCCCTAATCATCTCCTTGATCATCTGTGCCAGGAAGTTGTCGTCAATGTACCCACCACAGCACCATCCCAGGTGATCTGCCCACTAATCCTTAACTCTCAAGTGACTCATAATTCAACCCAAAGCAGAACTCTATGCATTTCCACTGCTCTTTCACATAAGGTCAACTCTTCCTCCTTGCCTTATTCCCACTCTGTTCTTCCACATAAGATCAGCTCCCCCTCCTTGCCTTCTTCTGACCCTGTTCTTCCTAAACACCTTATATCCTTTCAGTTCAGGACTCCAGTTGTGTTATCAGTCTCACCACATGTGAACCCAAAGAGACTGTATAACACAGATCTCCTTTTTGCTCCCCATGTTGGATAGCTTTGTAGACTCTCTCATTTCCTTCAGAGAGGAAACCAGTCAACAGATTCAACCCTTACTCCAGATCAAAAGTCTGAAAGCCCTTGGAAAAGCTGCTACAGTACTACCTTAATGCAATTTCACTTGTTGATGTGTAGATATAACCATTTCCAAAGGAACACCAAGAGGAAAAGGTAACATATTTGGCTTGTTGAAGTGTCTCTTCATTCCTCCCATCTCTACTGAAAAGTTTTTGGAGAATATCTCTCCTTAGAAGAAAGTATGATCTCATGTGGCTTTCTGAATGACCAGTTGGTAGGAAGTTAGGACATCTGTGTGCATGTGTGTGTGAATGTACAGTACGATGAGTAGAAAAGACTTTTTTACCTCTTGACCCTCCATGAGAAAAAGAATACACATTCATCAGGAAAAAAATAATATATATATATATATATGATTGCAAAGATTAAATATTTTCCTCATAAAATTCTGAAAGATGTTTTTGTTTTACTTTATTTTTTCTCCAGATTTTTTTTTTACAGTATGTAAATATTTTCCTCAGAAACTTTTGAAATCCCAAAATATCTTACTTACTGGTGAAAAAAAGAAAATACATTTATTTCTAAAAAATAGATACACACATATAGAATCATAGAATGGCCTGGGTTGGAAGGGACCTTAAAGATTATCTAGTTCCAACTCCCCTGTCATAGGAAAGGATGCCATCCACTAGATCAAGTTTCTTAGGGCCTCACCTGGTCTTGAACACCTCCAGGGATGGGGCATCCACGTCATCTCTGGGCAACCTGTTCCAGTGCCTCACCACCCTCTGAGTGAGGAATTTCTTTCTAGCCTCTAATCTAAATCTCCCCTCTTTTAAATTATTCCCCCTTGTCCAATCATAATCTACCTGAGTAAAAAGTCCTTCTCCATACTTTTTATAATCACAGAATCACAGAATCACAGAATTTCTAGGTTGGAAGAGACCTCAAGATCATCGAGTCCAACCTCTAACCTAACACTAACAGTCCCCACTAAACCATATCCCTAAGCTCTACATCTAAACATCTTTTGAAGACTTCCAGGGATGGTGAATCCACCACCTCCCTGGGCAGCCCGTTCCAGTGCCTAACAACCCTTTCAGTAAAGAAATTCTTCCTAACATCTAACCTAAAACTCCCCTGGCATAACTTTAGCCCATTCCCCCTCGTCCTGTCACCAGGCGCATGGGAGAACAGGCCAACCCCCACCTCACTACAGCCTCCTTTAATGTACTTATACAGAGCAATAAGGTCACCCCTGAGCCTCCTCTTCTCTAGGCTGAACAAGCCCAGCTCCTTCAGCCGCTCCTCATAGGACTTGCTCTCCAGGCCCCTCACCAGCTTCGTCGCCCTTCTTTGGACCCGCTCAAGCACCTCGATGTCCTTCTTGTAGCGAGGGGCCCAAAACTGAACACAGTACTCGAGGTGCGGCCTCACCAGAGCCGAGTACAGGGGGACGATCACCTCCCTAGCCCTGCTGGTCACAGTGTTTCTGATACAAGCCAGGATGCCGTTGGCCTTCTTGGCCACCTGAGCACACTGCTGGCTCATATTCAGCCGACTGTCCACCATCACTCCCAGGTCCTTCTCTGCCTGGCAGCTCTCCAACCATTCCTCTCCCAGCCTGTAGTTCTGCTTGGGGTTATTGCGCCCCAGGTGCAGGACCCGGCACTTGGCCTTGTTGAATTTCATACAGTTGACCTCAGCCCATCGGTGCAGCCTATCCAGATCCTCCTGCAGAGCCTTCCTACCCTCGAGCAGATCGACACACGCACCTAGCTTGGTGTCATCTGCAAACTTACTGAGGGTGCACTCAATGCCGTCATCCAGATCATTGATGAAGATGTTAAAGAGGACTGGCCCCAGCACCGAGCCCTGGGGGACGCCACTAGTGACTGGCCTCCAACTGGACTTGGCTCCATTTACCACAACTCTTTGGGCCCGGCAAACTCTTTGGGCCCGGCATCAACTCTTTGGGCCCGGCCCAAAAGACCCCTTTAAGACCCCTTTTTGACCCCTTTAAGCATTGAAAAGCTTCAGTGAGGTCACCCTGGAGCCTCTCAGGCTGAACATCCCCAGCTCTCTTAGCCAGTCTTCATAGAAGAGGTGCTACAGCCCCTTGTGGCCCTCCTCTGGACCTGCTCTAACAGCTCCACATTGTTCAGGCTGGGGGTCCCAGACCTAGACACAGTACTCTAAGTGGGGCCTCACAAGGGCAGAGCAGAGGGGGACAATCACCTCCCTCAACCTGCTGGACACTCCTTTTTTTTTTAATGCAACCCAGGATGCGGTTGGCTGCAAGCGTGCACTGTGAGCACTGCATTTTTATATAAATAAAGACTCAAGTGAGATGTGAAATTTAGAACCTCTAATTAAACTTTGTTTCCTTAGTGTTCTTCCAGGATTTCAATTTAATTCAAACTTTAACAAGACTACCTTCAGCTAGTTCCTCAAATATCTTTCTGTCTTCTGAATTCCATCTGCTTTTTTTTTTTTTTTTTTCTATTTAATGCTAATCTTTTCACTGATTTCCACCTTGAAATAGTAAAATATTTGCATTTATAAAAATATTTATTCATAATTTAAAGTATTTATTTGAGGTAGGCTTATTTCATTTCTACCATATCACCTATTACTTTTCGGTCTGAGGACTTTCATCATAGTCTGCATATTCCAATCAATTGTCTGTACTTGCTAGCTAAAAAAGTTGGTGTTGTTTGTTTGTTTGTTTTGTGCTATTGTTAATATATATATATATATATAATATATATAATATATAATATATAGTATATAATATAATGTATATTATATTTATTATATTTATATAATATATATTTAATAATATATTTATAAATATAATATTTATTATATATAATATTTATTATATTTTTATATATAATATATATATATATTATATATTATATAATATATAATGTGTATATATATATATATATATATATATATATATATATATATATATATTTGGCTAAAATTCCCAGAAATTGGTACAGACTGATTTTCTTATCTTAGAATCAGTGTATTCTGGGTGACAAAAATGTGTTGTCAAATTACTGTACCATATGGAATTACATATCTATGGAATATTTGCCCCTTCCCTGTCCTTTAATTCCTCTCCTTTGTAGAGTTTGGCATTCTCTGCCATGCCTAGCATAAATTTCCAGCTGACAGGGGCAAAAGCCAATCATTTATCTATACAACATATGTGTACGAATACAGGAAAAGGCTATGTTCTGACAACTTCATTTGTACTAAGAACTGTTTTTCTATACATTGTTTCTCTGTAGCCAACAGAACTGTTCAGAATACAATACAATATGATCTGGCTGGGGGAAATAAAAAGATTAATGTAATTTTTTATTTTTTTTCTCAGAGTGGGACACATTATACTTACATAGCACAAAAAGTACATATTCCTATGTACTTTCATCAAGGTATATAAAAAATTACACATTAGCCATCTAAAACAATGTATTTAATATTCCTCTTTCACTTTCAAACAGTAAGCTCTTTACTACAGAGACTCTTGCTTAATTCATAGAGAGCTGTGAAACCTTATGTCTCATAATTATGCCTATATAATGGCATTGTAAAAAGAAAATTGCTTTCTGTAAGGAAAATTTCACTGTACTCTCTCTAAGATCCATGTATTCCTATCAACACCTATGTACTTCTACAGCTACAACATGCTTACAGATCTTCCAAATTACATTCACTAGCCAATTACTTTTCTAACTAAAATATTTTTCCAACTGTTCTGAAATATTTTTTATAGGTTTTGAACGAATTTGTTCTGTCTGTTACAATTACCATTTAAATTCTTAGTATTAATTCTTCTTCTAATTCTGAGTAGCCTATCTTTAATTATCAAGGATATGCAAACAGAAAGGTTCTCCTAATTTTAAATCTAATCTGCTTCACATTGACCAACTATCCATTTTATTTTCACTACTGCAACACTTTGCTAATGATAACTTTGTCTACTTTTCCTTGAATTTATAAAGCTTGCGGCTTAAATAAAGGTAATTTGTCTAATGCTGTGAAACATAATTCAGTGAATAATTTGAAGTACAACTGTGTGGGTTTTCTGTTTATAGCAAAGCAGTTTATGAGTGTATGTGAAGCTTGAGTTTCTTCACTAGTTTCTTAATCGTCGTTTACCCCTCAGTACAGTAATTTATAGTTCCCAAATTCATTATTCCCTGCGTAATTGTTGGAATTTTGTCAATGAAGGTACTTTAGTTTACTTCCACATACTCTACATAAGAAAGTATATTTCTATAGCAGTACTCCCATAATCTCAGTTTCTCTATTTCTAGTACTTTGGTGATATTGTGTACCATCAATTTCTAGGTGCAATACTAGTATCAGTTTTTGCTTCTGCAAACAATTTCCAACCATCCAACAGATCAAAAGGTTTTACAGACTTTACCATTACTGTTCTAATAAAAATAAGGTGCATTTGAAAAATGTTGGTCACAAAAACATGTGCACTTTCTTGATTCCTATGCAGAAGCAACAGTAAATATTAGTTTGAACTATTCTGTAAATACAACAATCAATTCCTATTCTCTATCTCTCTTGCAGTTGCAGTTAATTAGCAGTATGTCCTGAATTTCTGTTACACTGGAACTGTCCAGAACAGACTGATAAAAAAATTATTTATGTATGTGTAAATCTCTGTCCATTAAGTTAATTTGGCAACCAGTCATTTTCTGTTGGACAACCAAATTGTTTTATAGTGGTATAAATAATAAATATGTATATATACATATATATATATATATATATTTTTTTTTTTTTCCTCTTGGATTAAAATAAATATCAGCAGGAATTTACTTTACATGTGTACATTTTTCTTTATTTGGTTACTGAATCTGAATTTAGATGGCTAATATTTTATCTTGAAAACCATATACAGATATTACAAAAGTAAGTTTAGTTCATTTCACATAGGCCATGCAAAGTACCCAGAGATCTAGGCAATCTAAGGGAGACTCAAGCTAGTCATAGTCTGTCCTCATTAGCTTTCCAGTTATATGATCTCCACATTCACTGTGCCATGCAAAGATGAGGGTCAAACCTGTCTTACCCTCAATTACATGGCTTTTTAAAGGATTTTTAAAAAGGATGTCAATAGTTTTACACTTGAGGAAACAAAGAACTGAGAGTGCAAGCTGACCTATATGTCCTTACCTGGATTTTTGACAGTAATTTGAAGATTGTTTCTTAGCTTCCCTCAGAAAAGCATCCACCTATGACAAAACCAATGACAGTGCAATTCAGACAGAGTTGATGAAACAGTAAAAGATGGTCTTTCAACAAGATAACTGCAACAGAAAATTCACCATTATACGAGAATCATATAGCAATAGAGAATAAAGAAAAAAAAAGAAAAAAAAAAAAGAAATACTGCCCTCAACAAATACGTTCTTCCTCACAAAATACAAATTTCTTCAAATTTATTCCTCATTTTACAGGTTAATAAATTAAAAATTATCTCTGATCTGAAACATACAAGAATAAAACTGGGGTAAACTCACTTCAAAGGACACATATTCAGAGTAATGCCAGCATTACTAATAGAATATTTAAAGATCAAGGTGGTTTGGCAATAGTTCAAGCAAAGCAACACAAAGACAGAGAACAGCAGGTACCATAAGGCTGGCCAGGGTGAAATAAGATCTTAGAAGAAAGTCTTAGTGCAAAAAACAAACACATAGCACCCCCCCAAAAAAAAAAAATTAAAAAATTAAAAATTAAAAAATACCTCCCAACCCTGGCAATTGATAAAAGGCAGTAAATGTCATTGCTGTATTAGGATCAAACTCTGCCAATTGTGCTTTTCAGAGGCAGCTCATTGGTTTCTTGAGAGTTCCCTCTGGCCCAGAAAAAAAAGTCTCTGGTAAATGGTGTATAGCACATAGCAGCTGTAGCTTTCTCACTGCACTCAAAAACCAGAAAATATATCTCAGGTTACCTCTGGCAGTTACCATTAAATATGTTTGCTATCACATGCATAGTGCATATTTATTCATTTGCATATTTATTATTATTAGTAGTAGCAGTAGTAATACTAATTAGTGATATTATTATTGTTGTTGCTGTTGTTGTTATTATTATTATTATTATTTTACTGAAACCAGAAAGGAACATTTCATCTTAAAAAAAGAAGAGCCCTATTATAAAAAAAACACAATGATTCCTTATTTGCCTGTTACTTTATCACATTGAAATGAAACTCTTTTATATTTTGCAGTGGTAGAAACCATCATAAAAAAATACTGCAAATAATATTTTAAAATTATTACAATACAATATTATTTTTAAATTACAATAGTAAAAGGAAGGAAATAAACATTTTCCTTTATACTGCTCTACTGCTTTCAGAGGCTTAATACTTAAAAGAAAATACATATGGAATAATAGGAATTTACATGTTTTTTTCTGCTATTGAAAAGAACAACTATTACTTGATTATCCTCCAACTCATCCTTGTGAAAGTTATTGTTCTACAAGTTTTTATGTATTAAAATGTTAATATTCCAGTACATTCCAAATTACAATATAAATTTTAACCCCCCCCCCCTTTTTTTTTTCCCCTGAAAAAGTTTTAATTGTTGGTTGTTCCACTCCCCAACCCTTCACACCCCTTTTCTTTTTCCTTGTTAAAAGAAGAGAATAAGATTATCAAGCAAATACCAATATTCAGACACACCACCTTTGGTATATTTTGCATTTCAAGGTATGCTGGTATATTACAGAAAGCCTAATGAAAAGACACTTCTTTATGCCTAGGTTTACCAGGTAATAGGTTGCATAAAATGAAACAGCTTTGATTTACCCATCTTCTCTGCAATATATTATCTTTTTCTGAAGGGAATAAAACTGATGATTTCCAAGGCCGACACCTACGGTGACATCATTCTAGCTCTCTGAACAGGAAAAATATATTGTTGCAGTTCTCTGACTGAAAAATGAAAAAGATATTTTTTGTAACAATATGATTCCCATGGGATATTCCCAACTAACTGTCCCTAAGGTGTTAAAGCTATATTTCCACTACCAGATACCTTTGAGAAAAACATGATGAAATACCACAACAGTTCATTTAGACCATAAGGGAAAAGTTCAAATGACTTGACTTGTGAAATTGTCAGGGATGGATTGCCTAATCTTTTTTTGACAGAGTCAAAGATTTGACCCATAAACTATAAGAAGTCTGGAAGATGACATCTTACTTCTAAAATATTTGGTGCTATATTAAAAAAAAAATAATAATAAAAATAAATAAAATAAAAAAGACTAATCCTAGGTCTCACTTGATGGTGTTGGCTCTCCGATTTACCTTTCCACTTAAGATTTTTAGAAAGTGCAAAATCCAAATACGGTGCAATCTGCACAAAGGAAATTTCTTCCCAGTTACATCAACTAGTGAGTGCCTTGTATCCTGTAGCTTGTTTATGCATTTTCAATATTTAATTTGCCCTGTCTGCCCTACCTTTGTCTGATCTTACTGTTAACCTGTAGTTCTTCCCTTTGAATCTAAACTGCACTGTAAATTCACAGTTTGAATATATTATTTTGTCTATTTGTCTTCTGTATTTTGTGTACAATGTATTATCATAAGCATAACCATCACATTCAGTGTAACTAGAAAGAATTAGTTGTATTAAAGCTCATAATGAGAAAAATATTCCTGCTTAAATCTGTTCAATTCTACTTTTTTGACCAGCAAATTTTTGGAGGACAATTCATGTAAAGTGTATCTGGCTCCAAATATCAGCTAAAATGTACACATCTCATTTCAATTTCATCTCCTAATATAAGTTAATTTTCATCTTTTGCATAATTAGTTCTCCTAGGAGACCTTTCCTCAGCAGCTGAGGCTAGCCTTGCACTTATTAAGATGTGATATTAGGTTTGGGAGACATCTTATGAATTAACACCTTGCAGAGGTATATTTAGTACAACCACTGGGAGAAGAAAAATGACATATTTTGAGATCTTGTTTGTTCCTGCGCTTAAAGCCATTTCCAAAGGGAATGTAAAAGACAGTGCATATGGCACAAATGTAATTCTGGACAGAGCTTGCATATGAATTGCAACTCAGAGTCAACACCACCATCTGTCCAGAAAGTCCTTGTTTGATATGCAGCAAATCAGAGAAAGCATACAATACCATGAGAAAAAATGGAAAAACAAAAACAAAACCAAAAAACAATTGGCTCTTCAGCGTAATTAAACAAAACAAAGCAAAAAAAAAAATATTAAAAAGAGATTCTTGATAATAAGCCTTCAGATCTAAACCCAAATTGTTCCTTGATAATCTGTCACACAGTCATTGACAGCATTTCTTTCCCCAACCCTCAACCTGCTTTGATAATGACTGTTATTAATACTTTAATAACTTTAAATACTTTAATAAGACTTTAATAACAACTGCTTTTATAACAAGTGTCGTAACATTTGCTTTGATTAGACTTTCCCATCGAGAAAAAAAAAATACATTTGAACATTTAAGAACTAATAAAGAACATGTCCAGATGATAGCTCTACTTTGGAATGTCTTATTCCACAAGTAATCACAATGGAGTCAACTAGGTGCGTATGCCATAAGATATAATTCTTTAATTATCAGAAATGGCCAGTTGTAATTGGTTGAACTGAGTACTGTTTTATTGTTATTACTATTTTTGATAAACACTAAATTATTTCAGTCTAGGAGGAATTAACTTTGATTAAAATAAGATTTGTATATTCTTGCAAAAAACCTTCAACTTAACTCCAACCAAAAGATATTAAATAATCAATTGGTCCTAATGTAAGACCATTTAACAAGTGTTAAAAGTCTAACAAATTAAATAACTTTTCAATCATGTGAGTGTTGCACAATCTGCCTTGACATCATTCCAAGGGTTATGAAGAATTGAAATTCTGGTGTTTATACTGTCTGAAATTATGCCTTATTAAGCCCAGGAAGGGCTTTATGAGTCAAAGTATAGATCTAGTGAAACTAAGATCCTTTTTTTTTCAGTGATGACCTGGGCCTGATGCCTAGAAGAGATTAAGAAACAAATAAACAGATACCTTATAGATAAGAGGTATAAAATAGGTAGAATCTTCTAAAAGATAATCCTACCCTCTATAAGGTCTTGGATCAAGGACTTTCTGGAGATAGAGGTTGTACTTTGCACTAAATAGCAACAACGACAAAAGCAAACAAACCCAATTTCTTTTGAATAGATTTGTTCAATTCTTCAAGTTTTGTAAGGTTTTGTATCTACAGAATTCCTATCAAGTTTAAAAGATTTATTAATCTCTCAATGAAATACCACCACCTCTAGAAACTTAAAACTCAGATATTGTTTTTAAAAAAAGTCTCTATTTCAGCATGTTAAAATTTGGAAATATTAAAAACGACACTCTTTGTGAGTCTACAGAAAGATGAGTCTCTGCAGGTGCGACAAAAAGCCCAGCTCTAGAAAAAAGTCCATGTGACTTTTCAAAAAAAAAAAAATAGTTTGGATACACTTCAAAATTTTGGAGTTCTTGTCTAAAATTTCATAGGTTTAGACCCAAAATAATTTGTCATTTATACTTCACAGATTTTCCTTTTGAAAAGTATCTGTATAAAGAATTATTAAATCTTGCTCACATGATATGGTTGTTTAACTAAAAGTTAAAAAATTTGTAACAAGTGTAAATAATAAATTATTTGCTTGTAAACACTTTTTAAAGCACTTCATTAGACCTCAAGCTATTTATTCAGATTACTTCCTTCTACTAAAAGCAAGAGTCTAACCAGAAAAAGAATGATTTAGAGAAACAAAACAAAACATAAACACACACACACAACTTGTTTAAACTGTTAAAAGCATTTTCCAAGTCTCTTACATGTGTGATGCAAAAGCAGGATTACATTTGAAAGAAAATGCATAGATTATTTCGATTCAGAATTATCCTGAAAAATGCCAATATTTAAACAGTAATTTAAACAGTAACAGTACATCTTCATACTATTTAAGTCTACCTTAAAGAAACAGAAACTGTACTACTTTTTAATTTAATGGAAATTTAGCAACACAAATATTTTGTTTTAACAAACTAAATTTCCATTTATTTATGTATTTTTTTAAAGATGCATTTGTGAAGAAAGAAAAAGAACTGAAGAAAGATTTGATTAGCATATCCTTTCATGCATATCCTGTTTCTATTGCTGTATTCATATTTGCTTAACTTAAATCTATGTGATATGAATTAAGGATGAAAACACTATTTTTACTAGATTTATTTAAATTTACTAAATTTACTATTATGGTTGAAAAGAATGTTGGACAAGAGTTGAAAGTAGATTCTATAGAGGCATTCAACCTGTAAGATTTCATAACTGAGTGGGCTCCCAAACCTCCAAGTTAGACAAGGAATGATAAAAATACCCTTCCAGAGGAAGCCAAATGCATAAGAAAAAAATCAGATACTTTGAAGATTTAGCAGTCACCACTACAAATCTTCTAGAGTTGATAGTATTTGGTGTTCAGAATTATCAGAAGATTTTGGAAAAGCCAAACCATTCTTTTACTGAAAAGTACAAAACAAAATTTGAGAATCTGTGGCCTCATTAGACACATACCTATATTTGTAAAACAATTCATGCACTGATTCAGTGATTCATTCATGTCTTAATCGTGTCTTCCAGACTGCTGCAAGTCACCAAAAAATATGGATGACTTTCACAAGTCCTCAAAGTTATCAGTGAAAGAAGATATACACAATCATGGCTGACCCTGAGCAAAAATGACACAGAAGTCTAGTCCTGAAAAATATAAGGCACTTTTCATGAGATATATGTATCTCTAATGCTCACAGGCAATGTAAATTCCAGATGCAAAATTTCTCACCAGGACAGCAAATATGTGTCTGAATAGAAAGAATGCAGTTTATTTATTTATTTATTTATTTTGATAGAAAATAGGTAAGCAAACCATTAGGGCAGAAGTGTTTATTTCAGAAGTATCACTGGAGAATGTACAATAAAACAGCAAATACTCTGAAAAGTTGATATGTAAAAGTGGAATAGTGTTTTTCCTTGTAGATAAATTCAGAAGCAAGGGAAAATAGGCTCTGTTTTGTCAATGAGCAACTGTGAGTATGGATGCATTGCATTTATCACTATGTTGTATTCACTCTTTTCCAATGTATCTAGATAGATTTAATGGCTCTTAAGAACAAGGAATTTCAATTGTGATTAAAATTCTTGGATAATGATTTTATTTATGGATCTCAGTGTGCTTTATAAAAGGACATGAATAACATCAGTTGGGATACAAAGTAGGGTGAAATGGACTTGGGGAAAGTAGCAAGTCTCACTAGAGAGGTCTCCAAATTTCTATTCCCCGACTATGCCACAACATATTTGAATGCTGATTAACATACAGGACTCCTGTTTTTGATGGAGTTTCTAAAGGCAAATAGAGATAATCAAGAATAAATCATCAAGAGATATAAATTGAACAGGTAAAAAAACTCAGAAAGGAAGTAGTTCATGGCCAAACGCTACATCCAAAACTTGATGTGTAAGCATGCATAGACATAAGGACACTGTATGGGAAATAGGAATGGAAGCCTTGGTTAGCTGACTAGTTATGTTGCCAGCAAATATAAATGATTTATATTACAGGATCTGAAAAGCACTTTGTACAACAGCATGTGATAGTCTATCATAAAAATAACATTTAATTAGCTTCCTGGAACCTGACTGATAAATCAAATATGCTCATACATTTAACATTAATCCAATATAAAAATAATACAAAATTTCAGCCAAAAAGATGTCATTGTTGCTATCAAAACCTCCTACTATAAACCCAGCTGATACTGTGGAAGATATTCATGATGTTGAACTTTTTTTGCATAGCTGGTTATAATTAACAGTATAGTATTGCTTTATTTATCGATGTGTATACATAAAATACATACTACTGAAAAGTATATTTTCATTTACTTTCAAAATTTAATTGTCTTTTTCCAAATTCAAGAGTTTGAATAGACTACAGATGTAAAACCACACAGCAAAATGAAGTGTTCTTCTAAAAACATGTATTTATCAAAATCAATCTTAAAATAAAAACAATCTTAATTCTTATTATTATATTACTTGATAGACTTCCTAACAGCTCTGCTTTGTGTTTATCTGTTGTTGTGTGTTTCCCATCAAAGGTAGGTGTGTGCGTATAAAATCTCAGAAGCCGTTATACATACACAAATCAAAGGAGGGATCCTGGTTACTACTGTTTAACATGAACCACCAGAATGTGGAAAATTCTCTCTCTCTCTCTCTCTCTCTCTCTCTCTTTTTTTTTTTTTTTTTTTTTTTTTTTTCCCCCTGAAGAATGGTGGAATACACACATATACTTCTGTCAAATAATTTATGGAACTGAAGGTAAATATAAATTAAATAATTATAAATTCTGTATTTTTTGGTTAAAAGTAGAGCTATATATCCTGGGTAGTGGAAAGACCAAAATGAGAATCTTTAAGACCTTTATTATTTATATCACTTAAAACCCTAAGGAAGCAGGGACTAAAAGCTACTAATTCAAATAGGAGTGAGAAATTCAGATAAAATTAAATAATTAAAAAAATAATAATTAAAAAAAGTCCTTTGTTGCCCAAATTAAATTATAGAAAAAATGAGGGTGGATAAACTCTCACTAGGTCATTCCTCTTATTCTCTCAGCTACAAAGGTATGTCCATATATATGTGAATATATATGTATATATATGTTGTCTTGAGAAATATTCGGTTAGCTTAAAATACTTCTACACTGAACTCCCTTAAAAACAAGTTAGAAATATTTTAGTCTTTAAAAATATTTAAAAAAAAGTAGTTTCCATTTATTTTTTCAGACTCCTCTACAAATTCCTCTACTTCAAAACTCTGAGATAAAACAAAAAACGAGTTACTGAATAAATAAACCAGAATTCAACTCATATGAGATTATCAGTTGTAAATAGCTAGCATTTTTCATTTCCAGTTCCGTACTGATAGCAGTTAAGATATTAAATTTGAAGTAAAATTCTTTGTTATTCTTACTATGTTTTTATAAGTGAATGTTGTGAGCTGATTTCTAAAATGATTACACTTTGAATTAAAATTATATATGTTTTTAATTCTGTTAGTAATACCAATGTCAAAGATGTCTGTACAGAAAAAAAAATAAAAATCAAACTGAATGCTGAACATACACCATATTTAATTTCCTCCAATATTTACCAAGGAGAAATAGTGAATAGCAATAGAATGAATTGATTCTGTTATCCAATAGCTCTTACTGAACATATTAATTAGGGTTCTAGAAAATTACCAAAACTGCAGACAATACCTATCCAGTCCAGAGTGTGGGCAAAGGCAAAAGGAAGAAGGGGCATCATCCCTACAACCAGGTCATTCTGTTCCAAGCAGCAGATTTCAAAAGCAGAGAAGATCCATGCACAGGTACGCCAGAGTTGGGAGCTGGAAGGAACAGAGGCTCAGGGAAAGGACTGAAGAGACAAGGGAGAGAACACAGTCAATTAATCTGTGGGAAACTAAAGAAAACTGAAAGCAGCATTTCTGGGTAGGGATTTACATAGCAGAGCAAAAAGGGGGTGTAGCCTTTTTAGCCTGGTAAGTCTGTTGGTTGATGTTGCTTGCGACAGAATGCAGGCTCTGTGTTATGGACAGCCTCTGAGCCCCTCTGGACTTGTCTGTGCTGACAGGAAATTTGTTTTAGTCTGCAACTGTGATTGTCCAATAACCATTTTTTTAATGTTTATCTGAGTAATAAAAGCACCATACATTTTGCTTTGGGACATTTCTAAAAAGTAGATATAAATTCCAAAGCAGGACCCTGCTGTTAAAAAATTAATATCTCCATATTTTGTATGGAGATATTCTGATATGTAGGTTGAAATAAAATACAATAAACGATATTTCCTATTAATTTAACGCAGTCGAAGACCATACAGTTGAACTGAGAAAATTCTCAGCATTCTGTGAAGTACAACAGCCATTATTAGTGGCTTAATAGTGCAGTAAATTTTTTAAGATCACTGCAGTCTCTAGAAAAGCTGGATCAAACATCTTCTGGATCCTTCAGACTCAATAGCTTGTATCACATGATGGGATGAATTCTGATATAGTATTCTTAGCTACTTCCCATTTCCACAGTTTTACTTAATAAACCATGAGTTCTGGGTCCAGATTTATTAAGATTTAAAGTCAGCAACTCTTGATGGCAGTTTGTGTGTTCTTTTGTAAACAAAAAACAAACAAAAAACTGATGTGACAACAACATAAAATTATTAGTGTCTATGCTTTAAAAAAAAAAAAATTAGATTTGTTCAGCTGTTGCAGTACTAAGTTAAACAGCACTTACATATCCTCAAAATTCTGACTATTCAACTTTAAACCAGTTTTATACACAATTCATGTAATAATTAAATGGAATATAAAATTGTATATTGGGAATAATGAAAAAATCCACTCACAGTCATCACTGCCACTATCTGAAGGTATAATTAATTAATACCATTACCACAGTTTTAGTACCAATGTCACTAAGTAGCTTTGGTACTACATGTAAGGTACTTTGGTACCTCAAGGCATTGTGTAGTCCAGAGAAGATTAATCTTTCTGGGAGATTTTTATATATTGATCTTTGAGTACAAATAATTTTGTATCCATTCATTTACATCTAAATCAGACTCAGTATTTAACAAACAGGAGTTTCTATTTTACTGAGAAGTGTTTTCTTTTTTTCTTTTTTTTTTTTTTTCTTCTGGTTTATCCTGCATTTATTCAGGTACTTTTTATTGATTCACAACAACATCTGAGGAGTTCATAAATGGCAGTAGATCTAACATAGCACCAGAATTTCTTACTGCAGCTAGCAGAATGTATAAAATATAAAAAATAACTAAATTAAAATTAATTAATTAATTAATTAAAAATATTTTATTGTTTCTTAAGTTGATTTCTAATAATATTTTTCATTTCATTTCATTTAGTTTTTCGTTTATTTCTAGTATGCATGAGTGCAAAAAAGAAATAATTAATGCACAGTGTTGGACAACAAAAACAAAACAACAAAAAAATTTTTTCCCTAGAATTTTCTGAAGCATGGAATTTCTGCTTTTGTCAAAAATATGTATAAAAAATAACATTTTCTAGAAAGATGATTCTGCAATTAAAAAAAAAAAAAAAAAAAGGAACACCATCATGACCAGATGTCTCCTTACCTCCAACAACCATTAACTCCAGAATGTATACCAGGGATATTGCTATAAGAAAATGATCATGTGGGCAACTGAAGAGGAGGACTAAGTAGTTGACTGCCATACCTTATCATAAAATAAAACTCCCATATGGTGGGTTATGTAATGATTGTGATTTTACTGTTTGAACGTTACTTAGAACTGAAAGGAAAACTTTTTAATTTACTAGTTCTACTCAGTGTCTCCAGATACCTTCAAGCATTTTGAAGCCTTGACCTGAAGCCTTTTTACTCTTAGTTGGTTTCTTCAAGTAACTCATCATTTATCAGCATTACGAAAAGTATGATATGTTCAGACGTTTGCAGTGATAAACTGTACTATTATTTATACAAGTACACTGTTTGTCAAACACTCTTCTGGGCATAGTTCAGCCAGAGGACTGTTCACAAACATTGCGTTAATTCTTATTCTCATTCAAAGTCTATTGAATGGTCATCTAAGTTACAGAGGTTTCTGCTCCATGTTTGGATGACTGTTTTTTCCAAAAGAGTGAAAAAGGAATAAGTCACTTTTAGGTAACTTAGGAGACACCACACTGCAAAAATTTTGGAAAGAACAAAAGAAAACAAAACAAAACACCTGAACATTATTATATAGCTTACTGAAAAATTGGGTATTTATATTTTCTAATTTTATACAAATAATGATTTTCTTGTAATCAATGAAATCAGTCAAACCCTTACAGTGTCTTACCACGAAGTGACAAATAAAAGGAGGGACAAATTTGAATGCATATTTTCAGATGGAAATCATAAGCCTTTTTCTGTTTTCTTTTGAGCTATTTATCTCAGAGATGAATTATCAGTAATTGCTTCATATGAGATATATACAGAATGAAACTTAATTAGTAATTTAAATGTACACCAAATTGGAACACTTTGAATCCCAATTAAAATTAATGGCTGCAATTAATTCAGACTTATTAGTCACCAGATTGTTCTCAGTTCCAGCTGCTGACATTTTCAGGAAAATGAGACAGTGTTTGGTGAATCCGTGTCATAAACATCACCATGAAGGGATGCTGTCAGCTGTTTATTTGTCAGAAAGATGTTTAAACCTTTCCATCTGCCTTACAATTACCTTTATGAGGGTTTCACCAGCCACAAAAGCTGTCAGATCACCAACAGTGTAACATGAAAAATCTTCCATTATGCCTGAGGTAAGCATAGAGCTGCTCAAATCCCCATGCTGATTAAATTAATCCTTCTTATTAATATGTGAGGAAATAGAAATTCAGATTTATTTGTATATGTTTGTCAAGAGGAATTATAATTCATGTGTATAAAAGATTCAACCATATTTTGAGAGCACAGATTCTTACAAAAGGTTATTTTTATCCTTTGTTGTTATTGAAAGAGGTGATTTAGTCAGAGACTTTTGCACATATTTGTAAACTCTTCATTCTTCAAAACTAACCCAAAGAAACGTGAAATTCTTATTTCATTTTATGTGTGATGACTACAGTATGCTATTATAGGATATATAGTACTAGGATTCCTGACAACTGCTATTCCTTGATTTATCTTATGTTCAAAATTCTGCCCTAATACTTTCTGAAAGTATTCTTAAATAAATAAATAAATGAAATTCCAGTTTCAGAAAGTTCTTTTTTTATCTATCTTTTGTCAATGTACTATGTTTTTCCTGCCCTGTCTGTTACATTTTTGCTTTCAATTTGTAATTTGCAAGCTGAAAAGAGTTTCAATATTAAAAAAGTAAACATATTCTCTATTTCGTCATCAGTATTAGGAAAAACAAAAACTACATTTCCTTTGTGGTTTTGTATCCTGAATACTTTGCAGATATAGAGGCTACATTGTTTTATAAGATTTATTATTTCATAGTAGATACCTAAAGCAACTTTTGTCTGCCAACTAGTTCATATCCTATGGGAGGAGAAATCTGGAGAGATTTCTTGGACTAGACATAGAAAGAATTTGCCTGAGGCATTGGGCTTCCAAAGACAGCCAAATAGTCACTGCCACCAGTATTGATACTAAAGCCTCAAAGAAAAGAAAAAGAAAGCCCCAAAACACTGCAGAAAGTGTTGGGCAGAAAGTTATGATCAACATAACCAACCCTTCTGAGCGGCCAGCCTTTCTATGGAGCAGCTGTGTGAGCAGCAAGATCACTTCTGTAAGACTTTTACCCTTTCCTGAGTCACCTCTGCCTCTGACTTCTCTTTCCCTTCCTCTGGAAGGAATTCTAATAATGCTTGAACAATAAAACTGAATTCCTCTGTACTGCTAAGAAGCTCTGAACCAACTCTGGTACTCTGCTATCTCATCTTCATGCATTGCAAATAAACTCTGGTGAATGATGCTGTGGGATTTACTCAAAAATCCCAAACAATTGGAGGCCAATACAAAAATACATCAGAACACAAAATAATGTTACTTAAATGGGAGCAAGACTGCATGATCTAAGAGTTATGTTTACCAAAATATGGTGAAATATGTTGTTGCTTCTCCTAGGAAGTGCAACAAGATATTTTCAACCAATCTCATTTACAATTTGTCTCCAGTATGAAAAAAAAAAAAAAAAAAAGACCATTCAGACCAGTATGCATGTAAGTTTGTTTTTATCACTGTTGTTGTTATTATTTTTTTTTCTGCAATCCCTCTAAAATATCATCATAAGCTTTATAAAAGTATAGAGGAACCTTCTACTGCAAACAGATTCTTTAGCTGCTACATGATGTCAGCTGTTTCAGTAAAACTTTCTAGCCTTCACTGAGACTCCCAGGCAGAAATTCTGTCACATTGTACATAAAAGATGAAATGTTTACAGAAACATGAGAAATAATATGAGAAAGAGAGTAAGGAGATTTCTTAGTAAGACGGTAGCTGCCTCAGCATTTTTGGAGAAGTTACATATCAATTACTTCCATGTCGAACCTGTGTGGGCAGTCTTGGCTATCTATAAAAGTCAGTGATAGTACCTTACCTGAAAACTTTCACACTGTACTTTTTTCCCTGCCTTGCACCTGTATTAGCGTGTTTCCAAAGGCAATGCCAATACAGTTAGAAATAAATTTTCACAAAAAAAAAAAAAAAAGTGTCAGCGTCATTACTTATTTTGAAATAAACACCATAAAATGATTATCTGTAACTCTTCTTTCATTGGCACAACTCAAAAAAGATAGGCCTAGAAAATAATATTTTAGAAGATAATCACATTAATAGATGAAAGGAAACCAAAATGAATGTATATGATATGTTCATTTTAAGTGATCTTTTAATCTAGCTCTCTTTAAAAGCTAAGGATCATTCCAACTGGCCTGACTACAGATTCAGTCAGATATGGAGATTGTCTGAAGAACTGTAAACACTACATTTAAAATTTGAAGCAAAGAATGCAATGAGTAAAAATTGTGCAATTGCAGGCCTTTCTGCTTAACTTAATTACTTTACTAGAAAGGAAAAAATGTGACAAATAATGAAGAAAGCTTGGCTTCATATGGAATCAATATGAATGAAATTACAAACAGATTCATTTAGAGTTTTGTCCTGGTCGTCCCTTTGAAAGTACAAAATATCTCAGTTCTCACGGTAATCAATAGTTCACTGAAGATGCCTCACACATTCTAGGATCTATACGGCACCACTACCACATCATGGCTTTTGGAACATAAATGTGAAATGAGATGCAACTTTGGAAACACAGAAAGCTGAAAGGGTGAGACGGAGGGATCGTGTGAAGAACAAATTATTGATGTGATAGACTTGCCTGATGGACAGCTTCAGAAATGCAAAGACTTGAGTCTTTAAGTGTGATAATGGACTCTAAGTTTTCAATGTGAGATGACAGCAAAATAAATCCAATGCTTTCCAATTTAAGGCTGAGTATGCAGAGATATCTCATGGCAAAGTAGACAAGGCAGCTCTTGCCTCTGAGCATCTCTGGTGGAATAACACTTTAAATAGAGGATTCAGCCTAAAAAACTACCTTCTAGATAAACAATTATAAACTGTAGGGAATTCAGAGACAAACATGAAAGAAATTATAAAGAAACTGATTCATGTAGGATTAGAAAATTCCACATACATGGCTTGGCTGATGCTTGGAGTTAAACAAGAAATCAACAAGTATTTGAAGAATGCAAAACCAAAGGACAACAATCTTATTTAAAATAATGCTGGAGAGTGTAATAAGAAGTGACATTGATTTAATACTGAGTAACAATGAAAAGAGTTAAACAAGCTATTTCAAATATATTCCAGGTTCTATTAAGGCAGCAGTGTCTTTCCTGATGGAAAGGTTAAGAACACTTTGCTAAAAATAAAAATAAAAAATATAAAAAAATCTTTTTTTTTTTTTTTATATACTTATCCTTGTAAAATGAAGGACATCCCCTCATGTAGAGTTTGACTAACAAAATTGTTTTTCCTCTCCAAACTCTCAGTTATTTGATATGATAGCAGCTAACCCACGACTGTTTTTAAAACACATTTTGCATTTCAGCATTTGCATGTGTTCTTAATTCAAGACCATTTAAGTTATTTTAACTACCTCTTTTTAAGTAATTTATCTCCATGATAAAGAAAATTATATCAGTCTGTTCTGAAAATTTAGACAGTAATCCTATTCTAGCAATTTTCAGAATACAGTTTAGAACGTATAGACAATATTTTATTCTTCTTCAGAAATATCTTCCACCAAAACCAGCTTGTTGATTTTATTTCCATGGACATTAAAATTCATGTCTCACTAGTTATTATATTCTCATGAAAGCTTGAAATATTATCATATTAACAAGCCTTATGTTCAACAGGAAAATCAACTTCCTTGCAACCTGAGCAATCATTTTGTATGGTTATGTCTGAAGATTCATATACTTGAGTATAGTATACTGTACCATAAAGCAAAATCACGCTAAAATAAGCTTGATACTTAATGAAAAAATCTTATTTACAAAATTAGTATGTGGAGAATATAACAGTGCATAAAATTGTATCTCTTTAGTAAGAACAAAGAAGTCACACTCAAGGTAGACTTAAACATCTAAATGCAGTTTAAGACCAAAATCATCAAATCAATGATGGTAGTAGTCATGATTATAGATTTGATATTCAAGTCTCTTTCCTAATAATGATGACGGGGAAGGGGAAGGGGAAAAGGAAGGGGAAGAGGAAGAGGGCCAAGTGCCGGGTCCTGCACCTGGCGTGCAATAACCCCAGGCAGAGCTACAGGCTGGGAGATGAGTGGTTGGAGAGCTACCAGGCAGAGAAGGACCTGGGAGTGATGGTTGATAGTCGGCTGAATATGAGCCAGCAGTGTGCTCAGGTGGCCAAGAAGGCCAACAGCATCCTGGCTTGCATAAGAAACAGTGTAGCCATCAGGGCTAGGGAGGTGATCATCCCCCTGTACTCGGCTCTGGTGAGGCCGCACCTCAAGTACTGTGTTCAGCTTTGGGCCCCTCGCTACAGAAGGACATGGAGGTGCTTGAGCGAGTCCAGAGAAGGGCGACGAAGCTGGTGAAGGGCCTGGAGAACAAGTCCTACGAGGAGCAGCTGAGGGAGTTGGGATTGTTCATTCTGGAGAAAAGGAGGCTCAGAGGCGACATCGCTCTCTACAGGTACCTTATAGGAGGCTGTAGTGAGGTGGGGGTTGGTCTGTTCTCCCACGTGCCTGGTGACAGGACGAGGGGGAATGGGCTTAAGTTGCGCCAGGGGAGTTTTAGGTTGGATCTTAGGAAGAACTTCTTTACCGAAAGGGTTGTTAGACATTGGAACGGGCTGCCCAGGGAAGTGGTTGAGTCACCATCCCTGGAGGTCTTTCAAAGACGTTTAGATGTAGAGCTTAGGGATATGGTTTAGTGGAGGACTGTTAGTATTAAGTCAGAGGTTGGACTCGATGATCTTGAGGTCTCTTCCAACCTAGAAATTCTGTGATTCTGTGATTCTGGGAAGAGATTAATTCCTAATGATTGCAATCCTTTTTCAACACTTTCTCTTTGTAAGTCAGGTACATGGCTTGTCTTATGAAATATACTGAGTAAATGTCAAAAGATATAGTAGTTTCTTACAGCAATAGTAAAATCAGATAATGAATAGACAGAGGGAGAAAAAAGAGTGCAGCAGACCCATACTTAGACTGTTATCCCATGTCCTAGAAGATGGTTCATCTCTGGCAAAAGACTTTACATGTGGTACACGTGGTGTCTTACTTCCAGCTAGGAATGCAAAAGCAGTCTAAATATATGCTTGACATGAGTTTTCGTGTTCTCCCTTGCCAGGTTGTATGCAATATTAATAATATTGCTACAAATCTTTAAGGAACATGGCCAAACTCTTGTTTTCTAAACAATACCTGCTTCAAAACAGGGATTTGCTATTCTACTTACAGGTCCAAATAAGCAGCAGAAAATCAGGCTGCCTGATCCTTTCCTCTGCACACTGGGCTGGAGTCTGGGCAGATGAGTATGTGTGCTTTCCGTGAGAAGAACTGAGTAGGCTTGGCTTGAGAAGGTTTCTGGATCCATTGTGAAGCATGCTGACTGAGAAACATAATGAGGGGAAGCCAGCAGCACAAGAATACACTAAGACATCACCAAAAAGAGCTAGGGCAAAGACAAACCTCAATGAATTAGAAAGCAAGAGAGTTTCCTGGGTTCTGATACTATTTAGTCTTCGCAGAGACAACAATAATAACACAAGGACACGGTAAAAAGTCAGAAAAGGGTGCTTTGGTTTGTTTTTAATTCTTTATCATTTTACTCTTTTCCACCAAATATATACAAGTTCTCCTTATTTAAAGAAGTTTGTTATTGTAGTTTCTTTTCTAAATAATGAAAATATTAGAGTAAAAGCTTTTCTTCTGGAGTTCTAAGATAGTTGTTTTAGAGAGAAGGAACAGCAGCATATGATAACAAATTTCTTCAGTGAAAATTTTTTAAATGACTAGAATAATTACTATTCAGAGTTGAATTTTGCTGCAAGCCACCTGTGATTCATTACAAGAAATAAAAAAAAAATATATAATAATAAAGTTTGACCAAACAAGAATACATATTAACATGGCTGACCAGCAGACAGGAACAATTTATATTCTTAAGTAGCCTTTAGTAGCTTTTGTAGCAGTGAAAGTATACTTTTTTGCTAAGTATAATTATAAATACCCAGGAAGGGTAGTTAGTAGAAGTGGGTTAGAAAACTCCAAGTATAAAAGCATTCGTTAAAAAGCACAGCAGCGATAAAACTGTCTGAGTGATACTAAAAAATTAATAAAAAGAGAAGGTCATGTTGCTTAGCCAATAAAACTTTTCCTTGTTCAACTGACAGGTTTGACTTTTACAGGTTGTGGATAGGGATCATCTTTAGAGAATGATTTGCAAGGGATGCAGTAAAACACTAAGCAGAAGGAAGAGGAAGCACAATTCAAATTAAGAACCACTGCAGATGTTGCTAATCTGAGACCATAGCACAGTCATTTCTTTCTTACCATTTCTTTTCTTTTTACATATGTATCTCATGGCCATGGAATGATAAATTTGATTTGGGAAATTTTAATTTTATCCTGTTTCAGCTTCCAGATATTCTGTTTCCTTATTCTGTTTCCTTTTCTACAATGTTTAATTTATTTTTCATTGGTCTCATCTGTCAAATTATTCTCATTAATTCAAATCTCCTGAAAATTCCCTTCTTCCAGAATAACATGACTAACAGCTACTGTCATTTATCTTAACACATAACTAAAAAAAAAAAAAACAACAAAAAAAAAAAACACATCACAATGTATCCTGCTAGGATTGCACAAACAGGATAACTGTCACAACTAAACCCTTTCTCAGGCTACCCCATACTCTCTACAAGCTGAATTTACTACATTGGATTTACATTTCTGGAACAGCATACTACTGTAAAGATATTTTTTCTGGACTTGGAGTATCCCTCAGCTGAGAGGGACACTGAATTCAAATTATCCATATACTAGCAAACATAATCACCTTTGTGCATAAGACGGAAGCAGCAACATGTGCTATTCTTAGTACAGGGAAATGTGCCTATTGTTTCCGTCAATCTGAACATACTTTCTGGATTAGCCCAGTGGGGAATGCAGAGGTTTCCTGCTGAAGACAGATAAGTGGGATGCATTAAGCTGCTCAGTGCAACCAATCCAGGAAAGATTTGGAAGAGAATTGCCTGTACTGGTAGCAGTTCAACGGCAGAAGTTCAAGTACCTACAGGAATTAGATGACTAAAGAGTCACACTGTCGTCTTGAGACTGTATTCAACCTAAAAACCTGCATTCATCCTAAAAATCCTTTAAAAACTTGACTATATACATGTATATTACTGGTCATGCCTTCCTTTTTCTGCTACTTCTGACTGCAATCAGGTGAAGATCCCTATAGACTCTTGACTGTCTGAAGCGTCAAGCTTCTAAAACAACAGCATACAACAGCATACCCATTTTGCTAGAAAATCATAATTTAGAGTTCAAGAAAAAACAAATGCCATTTCTTCTATATATTGAGACCTCTAGAATGTGTCTCTTGAGCTACAACCACTATAACAGTGTAGTTTTCCATTGTACAATTTACAGCTAAATATTTAAGCAGTTTTACTTTCTTACCTGATTTAAGTAGCCTATAACAGACATCTGACAGGGTTCCTCCCTCTGTAGCTTTATTTCACAAAGACAAGAACATTACAGTTCTGAGGTATTAACAATTTTAAAAGTGATAAGAGTCTCCTTATAAATAAGTTCCACTTCTTTCTCTTCTTCAATCCCCATAACTGTTTTAATACTACTATGACCTTCCTAAATGGTTAAAATCAATTACTTCTAGCATTATAATAATTGTAAATATTACCTTCCCAGTCTTCCCATTCCAATTTAGCTTTGGGTGGGTAGGAAATAAAAAGCTAACCCTAAAAGAGAGCACCTTACGAAGGAGTCCCTGTGTGGAGAGATTTTGGAGAAATGGAAATGGAGACTGGGAGATTGTGCTATTTATGAAGACTTCTGTAATAATTCTCATAATTCCCTATAACCTCTACAGAGACTGCATTTTCATATTGGGAACTGAAAAAGGCAAACCAGAAAATAACTCTGGTTTCTCTTTATATCTTAGAAATAGACTATTATTTTATTCAGGAGAGGGAAAAAAAGAAAAGAAAAAAAAAAAAGCTAGTATTGATTAAAATTAGCAGAGATACTGCAGCTCCTCTGTTCTCTCTGTAAGTAAAAACATGCCTTGGACCCAGCACTAAAACTTCAAATCCTGAAGTGGAATTAAAGAATAAAAGGTCAAATGTTTCATTGCAATGAAGAAAAGAAGAAAGTCAGTACAAACATATTGGTCCAAGCCAAAAACAAAAACAAAAACAAAAACAAAAACAAAAACAAAAACAAAAACAAACAAACAAAAACAGTACTGATTTAATTTATCTCATTTGGTCCTTGCAGAGTGTGGAAGAAATAATTTTAGAGTCATTAAAGCAAAAATATAAGGTTACTAATACCAGATAGAATTTATATTAAAGCAGGAATCAAATCAAAATAATTTATTATCATGTACAAGGAACTTCACCACACCTTTATGGCCTTGTTAAATATTACAGTGGGGCCATAGGAACCTGACAAAATCCCCTGAAATTCAGAAAACCAATGGATAATGAAGTGAAAAAGAAAAAATCACGCTGTACCATCTGCCATGATTTTTGCTTAATGCTGCAGATTACATCTTACGGCCAGAAAAACTTTTCCAAACTTTAAAATATAACCTTCCAATAAGGCAGGATTGTGTCAAAAGAATGAACAGAATTAAGATGCTGAAGCAAAAGAAACTCTGAAATTAAATATAAAGAAATAAAAAAGACCAGCAACAAAAAAGTTGAGACAGAAAGAAGTACAAGCATACAGCTCACAGTAGTTGTCTAATTATCATTTTTAATATTCAAGATAATTGGGTACAAAATTAGTGAAATCATTTAATAATTACTACCTGTGATGTGATTTAAATTCTCCCACATTAAACATCGTGCATCAAGAAAACAGTTATGATATTTTTTACTAGATATTTGGAAAAAAATATTAAAAGACTGATTCCTTAGTTGTTAAAATTTATCTAGACCATCATAACAACAACTATTTACATTTCATTTCTGAGAAAAAAAATATTTGTGATTCAGAAAAAATGCCCACATCTTTTTTATATTGCTTATATCAAAGGAAATCCTGCATAAATCTGATAAATAGTTCAGAATTCTTTTGTACACCACAAGAAGTGCCAGCAGATGATAATTGCAATCAGCCCGTAAGTGTAAACTCTACAGTGCCTACGCATTGGAATTCAGTACAGTGATATCAGTAAGCTAATATTAACTTTATGCAACCTTTTCACTAGGAACTCTCTCTAATCAACAGTGAGTCAAAGACCTGCTTTTCAGACTTACTTCTTTACCTGTAGGCTTCTCTGTAAGTTTATTCCACCTGAAAAATTAACTTTTCATCATGACCATCACTACAGGTCTATGTATTCCTATAATTTTGGAATTGGAGATTCAGGGAAATTGAACTATTGAGATGATCGAAGGACTGGAGCACTTCTGCTGTAAAGATAGGCTGAGAGAGCTGGGGTTGTTCAGCCTGGAGAAGCGAAGACTCTGTTCTTGCCTCCAGTACCTAAAGGGGAAGTAGTACCTTCCTGTAGGAAGGAAGGCAAGTTTTTCCCTACAGGAAAGCTGGGGAAGGACCCTCAGGGAAAGGACTGTAGTGATAACACCATGAATCATGGCTTTAAACTTAAAAAAGGTAAATTTAGACTAGATATAAGGAAGATTTTCTTCACTTTGAAAATATTGAGGCACTG